GGGAGGAGCCTGGGCGTGACGTTAACAGCAGTTCCCGTGAAGACAGTCGGCCAATCAGAGCCTGTCGCGTGCGGGGACCCAGATGTAGGGTCCGCTCTGCTCCTCGATGACCACTTTGACGTGGTGGTAGACTTCCTCGAAGCTGTCGCCGTGCACGATGGCTGGAAGACAGGCAAAGATGGCATCAAGCCCCGAGACGCTCGTACGTTTCACACGTGAACACTCGTGAACTTAATCGTTGTTTTACCTGTGAAGCACTCCAGGAAGTCCTGCTCCAGCTTGATGGCTCGATCCAGAGCTTTCCTCGCCTGCTCCTCCGACAGGCGCTTGTTCAAGTCCCTGCACCAATGTCACACATGTTAATTCTCACAGCGACATGAGATGCTCTGTGGCTCCGCCCACAAAACCACAACACTTTGAATCAAATCTTTAAAAAAAATTTAATTTAAAATTTTAATTAATTTTCTTTTAAAGAATGTAATTGAATGACATTTGAGATTTTCATGTTTGAACTTTAATTTACTTTAAGAATCAAAAATTAAGAACCTCCCTGATTCGCAACCTGTGGTGTTGGGGGCTTTTTGTCCCTGGTAGGGTCTCCCGTGGGGGCCCAGCTGGGCACCCACACTAGAGTCTGTGGATGAGGCACAACTCGTCTATCACCAGGTGGCAGAAGTCAGAATCTCATCTCTGCTGTTGCAGACCTCTGTCTGTTACTGGATCTGGGAGGTTGGTCTGATTTGACCTTTATGGGCGGAGTCAGAGAGCAGTTTGATCTGACCTCTTGATTTTACGTGACGTGTTAGACTCACAGGATGTTCTCCAGTGACCGCGGTCGGATGAAGATAGCGATGGGGTGGAGCTGTGCCGCCTGCAGCCTCCTCACGGCGTTGGCCGACACATCCAGGATGCAGTGCTTCCCCTGAACACACACACACACCGTCACAATACTGCCACTGTGGGAGTGGAAACGGCCACTGTGGGAAAGTGCGGACTGTCACCTGCTCGGCCACCTGTCGCACACTCTGCACCGACGTCCCGTACAGGTGGTTGTTGTACTGCCCCGCCTCGATGAAGCGGTGCGACTGGATGTCCCGCTCCATCTGTTCCCGTGACGCCACAAAGTGGTAGTCCCGCCCATCCACCTCGTAGTCCCTGCGAGGGCGAGTCGTATCTGTGAGAGAGCGAGGCACACATTAGAAACCTGTCTGTTCAGTTCCTGTTTGACCACCTGTAGGCGGAGCCTTACGGGGGACGCAGGAGCCGAACTTGTCGGGGAACTCGGACAGCAGGTCGTCGTTGACGCGGTCTTTGGTGGGTCCCAGGATGATGATGGGGCGGGCATAGTCCACTGAACA